CTCTCCTCTCTGCTCTGTTTTCTTTGCAGGGTGTGTCTGCAGCTGGGCAGGTAGTATCCCTAAAGGTGTGGTTAATTGACAACATTCTGGACAAGATCAATAGCCACCTTCCATCCCACATTCGGATTCTGGGTAAGCTTCCCTGTGCACCTGTGGCCTCATATGGTCAGAGGCTGTGCTTACTCGACTACCTTTGGCCAAGCTCTTTGGGAAGGAAGTGGAGAATCTTGTAGATGCTCAGCAGGTGGTTAGGTACTGGGAATGTTCAGTGTTGCTCCCTCAGGATTAGCTAGTTGAGTGCGCAGTTCCATGGCCTTTGGCAGTACAACTGTGATAGTCTGTGAATACAATTATCATAAAATGATGGTTGTGAACATGTAGCTAGATGGTTAAAACAAGGCCAGCGGTGATCCTTTGAAACAGGACTAGTAAATGGATTTTTAGAACCTGAAGCCTTATGCTTGTCTCAAGCCATATTTCTTTCTTTTTTATTTTTTTAAATATTTATTTATTTATTATGTATACAGTGTTCTGGTGCTAGCAGGCCAGAAGAGGGCACCAGATACAGATCTCACTACAGATGGTTGGGAGCCACCAACTGGGTACTGGGAATTGAACTCAGGACCTCTGGAAGAGCAGGCAGCACTCTTAACCACTGAGCCATCTCACCAGCCCTCAAGCCATATTTCTAGCACCTGTTAACTTTTTTTTTAATTATTTATTTTATATACACACATTGGTACTTTGCTTGCATGTATGTATGTATGAGAGTGTCAGATCCACTAGAACTGAGGATACAGACAGCTGTGATCTGACATGTGGGTGCTCGGAAATGAACTCCAGTCCTCTAGAACAGCAGCCAGTGCTCTCTACCGCTGAGACATCTCTCCAGTGTCCTCCCCCCTCCCCTTTAATTTTCTTTTCTGATGTTTTTGTTTTTCCACACAGGGTTTCTCTGTGTAGCTTGGGGCCTGTTTTGGAACTTGCTCTGTAGACCAGGCTGTCCTCGAACTCACAGAGATCCACTCGCCTCTCCCTCCTGAGTGCTGAGATTAAAGGCGTGTGCCACTACCACTTTGCTTTCTTTTTGTTTTTTGAGACAGGGTCTTTCTACATAGCCCTGACTGTTATGGAACACACGATGTAAACTAGGCTGGCCCTGGGTCCATAGAGACCTGCCTGCGAGTCCTGCGATTAAAGGTGGGCACCACTACGCCTGCCTTTAAAAATTTTGTATTTAATTATTTATTTTTGTTGGCAATGCTAGGCCTTAAATCCATGGCCTTGTACGTGCTAGTCAAGGTTTTTATTTATTTATTTACTTATTTTTATTTTTATTGAGCTCTACATTTTTCTAGGCTCCCCTCCTTATCTCTCCCCTCTCCTTCAACCCTCTCCCAAGGTCCCCATGCTCCCAGGGATCTTACTCAGGAGATCTTGTCTTTTCTACTTCCCATGTAGATTAGATCTATGTATGTCTCTCTTAGGGTCCTCATTGTTGTCTAGGTTCTCTGGGATTGTGATTTGTGGGCTAGTTTTCTTTGCTTTATTCCTTTCCTTTTTTTTTTTTTCTTTCTCCTTTTAGATAGGGTCTCATTGCATAGTCCTGGCTGGACTAGAGCTCTGCTATGTAGACAGGCTGACCCTGAATTCACAGAAAACTGCCTCCTGAGTGCTGGAGTTAAAGCACTTAATACCAGTAGTCAAATTTTCTGTCTCTGAGCTATGCTCCCTAGCCCACTTCCTAAAAAAAAAAAAAAAAAAAAGAACCAGCTGTGTTAGACTGTGCTGAGAACAGTGAGCCCTTGTCCATCCTGGGCCCGAGTAAAACTCTGTCTCAAAAATCAAATCAAATCTAAAAGAGTCATATGTAAATAAGTAAGAAGAACAGTCAGTGTCCCTAACCGCTAAGCCATCTCTCCAGCCCCCTAGTTTTTTTAATTTTTGTTTTGTTTTCCTGTTTCTTTGTTTTGAAGACAGGGTTTCTCTGTGTAGCTCTGGCTGTCCTGGAATTTACTCTGTAGACCAGGCTGTCAGCTATCTACCTGCCTCTGCCTCTTGAGTACTGGGATTAAAGGAAAGTACTACCACCTCTCAGCTTTGTTTTGTTTCTTGAAACAGAGACTCACTATGTAGCCTTGGCTATCCTGGAACTCACTATATAGACCAGGCTTGCCTCGACCTCCTTGAGTGTGGTTTAAAGGCATTTCCCATTGTGCTCAGCCCAAGTATTTTTTAATTGTTTGAGAATTTCTTACATGCATATAAAATGTTTTGATCAAAATCTCCCCCCATTCTCTCCCTTCCAGTTCTTTTCTCCTCTTCCCTAACACTTTCCCTCCCACTTAGTGTTGCTTATATGTGTATTCATTAGTACTGGAGCATAGGTAACCTTTCAGGGGCTGTATTACCCGAGGAAAATGGACTTTCTTTCCCCAGCATCCAATAGTTGCCAATAGCTTTTCAATTAGAGGTGAGAACCTCCAGTTTTGCTCAGTAGTTAGCATTTCTTGCTATTGAAATCTGCTGCTGTATCTGTATAAAGACTTAGCATTCTAGTCCTAGCTACCTCCTTCAGATGGCTCATGACTCACAGCCTGGTCAAAGCTGCTGCAGATTTATAACCTGGGCCTGGCATGTTTGCCAGCTGCAGTTTCAGCAGATCCTTAGGTTTGACATCTGGGTTTGTTTCATTCTGGGTTTCGGCATTGTGTAGATTCTGAGTTTGGAGTCAGAACTGGGTACCTCTCCTGGGCAAGTGGTGCCAGAATCATGCTATCAGGATGGCCCACCTTGGAAGTGTTTCTGCTCACCTGGGTTTCTTAAATGCTGCCCTCTAGGATTGAAGAGGGTCACGGGCGGGTTCAACTCCAAGAATAAGTGTGATGCCAGGACCTACTGCTACATGTTGCCCACCTTTGCCTTTGCTCACAAAGACCGGGATGTACAGGATGAGAGTTATCGCTTGAGTGCAGAGACTCTGCAGCAGGTCAACCGGCTTCTGGCCTGCTACAAGGGCACCCACAACTTCCACAACTTCACCTCACAGAAAGGGCCAAGAGAGCCCAGTGCACGCCGCTACATTCTGGAAATGTACTGTGAGGAGCCCTTTGTACGAGAGGGCCTGGAGTTTGCTGTGATCAAGGTGAAGGGCCAGAGCTTCATGATGCACCAGATCCGGAAAATGGTTGGCTTGGTGGTAGCCATTGTGAAGGGTTATGCCCCTGAGAGTGTGCTGGAACGCAGCTGGGGTGAGGAGAAGGTGGATGTGCCCAAGGCACCAGGGCTTGGCTTAGTCCTGGAGAGGGTGCACTTTGAGAAGTACAATCAGCGCTTTGGCAGCGATGGGCTGCATGAGCCCCTGGACTGGACACAGGAGGAAGGAAAGGTGGCTGCTTTCAAGGAGCAATACATCTATCCTACCATTGTCAGCACTGAGCGGGATGAGCGGTCCATGGCCCAGTGGCTTAGCACTCTCCCTATTCACAACTTCAGTGCCACTGCACTTGGAGCAGCTGGTACAGGTGCCAAGGTAGGAGCCTGGTCTGTAGTGTGCATATGTGTACATACTAGGGTTAGATGGATTGGGTAAACACTTGTCTTCAGCCCTAGTTGGAGATAGCAAGTTGAGTCCCAGAGAGTCTCACAGCCTCTGGAGGAATGGGGGTTATGTGGTTACTGGGCTTACCTCTAGCTCCTGCCCCACACTGTGATCTTGGCTGCTTGCTGAGGCAGTAGTTGTCCTAGGATACTAGGCAAGGCTTGCTTGGGCTGGCATTGGGCTGAAGCTGCTGAGCAGTCTGGTTACCTTTAAAGGTGTAGGCTGCCCGTTCAGTTGCAGTCTGTTCCTGTGCCTCCGACGGTATTCCCTCAGCTCAAGCACTTGGCACTGTACCCAGGATTCTCCCCATGCCCCACACATGGGAATGCCTACAAGTTGGGTCTCACAGTCCTTTACCCCCTGTTTCCTACAGGTCCCCAGTTCCCTGGAGGGCAGCGAAGGGGATGGAGACACTGACTGAGACTACAGCTGCTGCCACTGCTGTGAGGGTTGAGGCTGGAGTCTCTGCACTTGCCTGTCTCTCAGGACATGGAAGCCAAGAATTCTGGGGCCAGCTTGTGGATTTAGCGTGGCTTCATAACCTCAGGATATTAAATTCTCATTCTAGGAATCAGCTGCCTCTTAGCCCATGCATTGTGTATATACACCTTTAGCATGAAAGGACACTTTTTTTTTAAAAAAAAAAAGGAGTGATTTTTTTTCCTATTAAATATGTTTTGCTTAGTGAATTATTCTTTTTCTATTTTCAATTATTCTTTATTGGTTGTAAGATGATTGGGACACTGCTGTGTTAGGGATAGCTGAAGGGCACATAGGGTCAGCATGGGGCTGTAGTTGACAGGGCAGGCAGTAGATGTAGGTGAGTGCAGTGGTATGTCCTGCCACCAGCAGTTTGCTCCCAACTGCTACCCTTACCCTCATTTTCTATCCTGGCCTATTTGAGTCCAGTCCAGTTTTTTTTTGAAGCGGCTACCGTGGTAATATGAGCTCTTGGCTGTGATTCCATACTACTTATTCTTGGGCTATGGAGAGACCCCAGTGGGTCTGTGCTTCAGCAGCCCCCACTTCCATGCACTGCTGTTCCTCACCTCCTTTTGGGTTTCCTCAGCAGGTGGTGGCTCCCACCTGAGCAGTGGAGCTGTGGAGCTGTGAAATGGAACTTGGGGTCTTCATTTTCTGACCTCAGGGCACTCTTGTCCATTCTGTCCCTGAGATTCCAACACAAATTTGGAAGCCTAACCTCCACCTGGCTGTTCACAGCTTGGGTTTGGAGCGTATCCCTCCTCACTGCACACGGACTGCCACTACCTCAGCATGAGACTTGGAGTGCCCCCTTCAGCCCAGTGGAATCCTTCCAGAACATCCTCAAATTTTTTGCAGATTCAGCCCTTAGACCTGTTATGGTAGTTGGATGCTTAAATCCCACACTAGCTCAGAATCGAGAAATAGATAGTCATTTATTAAGGGGTAAACTCACAAATCAGAATCCTCCCTTGATTGGTTGAATCACACGGTTCAAAAGAACAGGTGGTGGGAATGGAGCAAGGGGAATGAGAGAGAAGGGCTTCCCCCGTAAACAGTATAAGAGGCCACGCCCCAGTAGGTGATTAAATACAAGCTGCAGTACTTCCTATAGCATAGACCTGCACAGATGTCTTCATCCCACAGCCTGAGTTTTTCGTTTGTTTGTCATGGCAAGCAAGCAGTTATAGTTCAGGCTTGGTGAGATGAGATGTCTTAACAGTTGAGAGTATTTTTTCTTGCAGAGGACCTGGGTTCCCAGCACCCAGATGGTGGCTCACAACTCTCTTAACTCCAGTTCCAGAGGATCCAACAGGCAACAGGCAGGCAGGCAAAACATTTCTACAGAAAGAGTAAAATAGATAAATCTAAAAAAGTTTTTAGAAAATTAATTTAGGGGTTGGTAAGATGACTCAGCAGTTACAAGCTTCTCCTGTCTTTGCAGAGGACCCATGTTCAATTCCCAGCACCCCTGTTGATTGAGCAGCCATATTTGCCTATACCTTTAGCTCCAGACAATTCAGCCCCATGTTCTGGTCTCTGATGGCACTGCATTCATGTATACATACCCATACATAAGGCACACATACACAACCTAATTTAAAAGTAAAAACTTTAATTCCAGTACTTGGGAGGCAGTGGCAGGCAGATCTCTGAGTGTGAGGCCAACCTGATTTACAGAGTGAGTTCCAGGACAGTCAGGACACAGATAAGCCCTGTCTGGAAAAAGCAAACAATTTTTTTTTAAAAAAAAGATTTGTGTGTGCGTGTGTATACATGTAAGTTCCCTGGTGTGAGTGCTAGGAATCTAACTCTGGTCTTCTGCAAGAGCAGTAGTGCTCAGTCCCCTTTGTTAGTTTTTTAAAAATTATTCTATTATTTATTTGTTTGTGTGTATGCCATATGTATGTGAATGCCTATGGAGGCCAGAAGGGGGGTCAGATCTCTTGGAGCTTGTTGCAAATGGTTGTGGACCACCTGATGTGGGTTCTGAGAACTGAATTCAGGTCCTGAACAGCCCCAAATGCTCTTAACTGATAAGCCATCTTTTCAGCTGCCCCAACTCCTTGTTGTTGTTGTTTTTTTTTTTAAATATTTATTTATTATGTATACAATATTCTGTCTGTGTATATGCCAGAAGACCAGAAGAGGGCACCAGACCTCATTACAGATGGTTGTGAGCCACCATGTGGTTGCCGGGAATTGAACTCAGGACCTTTGGAAGAGCAGGCAATGCTCTTAACCTCTGAGCCATCTTTCCAGCCCCTTTGCTGTGTTTTTAAAAAAAGATAATTTATTATTTGACAATTTCATGTATGTATGTGTGTGTATATATATACTTTTTCAAACCAGTTTTGGTACTTGGAGTAAGGAGTAGGTAAACAAATGAGTACTGAATGAATGAATGAATGAATATGACTGAATGGTCACAGAGATGAAATATTTCCTAAAATAACTTTCACCAATAAGACAAGAAAAAACAATGTAAATATGACCCTTCAGTAAAAAAATTATAACTATGACATCTAAAACAGACTCCTACTTGATTAAGTCTTGTGTCTGCAAAATAACTCCTATCAATGAAGGGGAGAAGGAAGGATTTTTAGATGGAAAGGATTTAGTTTGCTTGAGTAGTTCTGGATTTGTTAATTAACTTTAATATTGTAGTAATCGCTCCAGTTGTCATGACCAGGGCTCATTCGGACTGCACTCAGTGGGGGAGCCGAGGGGCATGCATGTATATTTTGATTACATTCACCTTCCTTTTCCCTTACTTCCCTAGCTCCCTCTGGACCCCTTCTTCCTAACATATTTGCCACATGTTTTTGTGAGACAGGGTCTTATGTATTCCAGGACAGCCTCGAACATGCTGATGCTGTGTGGGTGGGCTAGCCCTGAATCCCAGATCTTCCTGCTTTAGACTCTAAGCTTCCTAAGCTGAGACCCTTTCTACAGTTCTTTATGTGGTGGTGATCCCAACTATAACATCATTTTCATTGCTACTTCATAACTGTAATTTTGCTACTTTTATTAATCATAACGTAAATATCTGATATACAAAATATCTTTTTTTAAAATTTTTTTATGATCTATTTAACTTTTTATTTTATGTGCATTGGTGTGAAGGTGTCAGATCCCCTGGAACTGGATCATCAGACAGTTGTGAGCTGCCATGTGGGTGCTGGGAATTGAACCCGGGTCCTCTGGAAGAGCAGTCAGTGCTCTTAACCACGGAGCCATCTTTCCAGCCTCTACAAAATATCTTATATGCTACCTCAAAGGGGTCGCTAACCACAACTTGAAAACTACTGGATTAACAGGTTGTACCACCATGCTTTGCTATTTTCTTTTTCTTTTTAAAAAAGTGTCTTTAAAAAAGTGCTGCCTTGGGGCTGGAGAGATGGCTCAGCGGTTAGGAGCATAACCTGTTCTTCCAAAGGTCCTGAGTTCAATTCCCAGCAACCACATGGTGGCTCACAACCATCTGTAATGAGGTCTGGTGTCCTCTTCTGGCCTGCAGGCATACACGCAGACAGAATATTGTATACATAATATATATATATATATATATATATATATATATATATATATATATATATTTTAAAAAGTGCTGCCTTTTAAAAATAATCTTATTCCACTTGGGTGGCACAGGCAGGCGAATCTCTGCGAGTCCAGGCCAGCCTGGTCTACAAACTGAGTTCCAGAACAGCCAGGGTTGTTACACAGAGAAACCCTGTCTAAAGGACCCCCCTCCCCTGAAAAAAAGTCTCACTCTGCAGGTCTAGGTCGGCCCCAACTTGCACAGCAATCCTACCTTAGCTTGATTGCAGTTATCATTTCTCTGCTTTCTAATGTTGCTGGATGTATTTCCACACTTCTGCTCACCTCATTTCAGCTTTCTTTCTGTGAACCACAGTGATACTCGGGTTTTAGGTCTTGGGGCTAGTCCCCTAGTTCCCAGAAAGACATGGCTACGACCCAGAGGACCGGATTACGCCCGCCGAGCTTTTCCAAACCAGGCTCCCCCAAGGGGAGGACTGGGAGGGGGAGGAAGACATCAGGCTCCTCCTCGTACAGACGAGGCAACGCCCCGAGGTTGCCCGAACTGCCCCGAGCCATGGGGCTCCACCCCGTACTGACAAGGCCACGCCCCGGCCCGTAGGCACTTGCTGAGCCCCCAGCTCTGCCTGCTTGCGCGCAGACTCCTCGTAAGGACCCAGCGGTCCCAAGTCGCGTAGCTGAGGCCTTTCAGAGGCGACTCTGAGATAGTCCTCAGCTCTCCGGATTCCGCCCCAGACCCGTTCAACGCGCAGCCTGCTTATAGCCCCGCCCCTTGCCTCCGCCAACTGGAGCATTTTAACTTCAGGCGACCTCGCACGGCTGTGAGCGGCGTTGCAGGACAGGTACTGCTAGTCCCTCTCCGCTTGCCGTAGCCCCGGCGCCGCTGCTTCCTGCGTCCGTGGACCCGGATACGCCGAGCGGCTGCGGCGCGCTCGAGCCTGCGGGCTGTCCGGACGCGACGGAGCGTGGCTCGAGGTGTAGGGTGACCTGAACGGCGACAGCGGGGTGAGAGGCCGGGCTGGTAGGCATCTGGCGGAGGTGGCGTGCCGGGCGGTCTCCTTCAGCGGTGCTGCTGCGTGCGTCTTGTAAGGCCCGGGCCGCGGTGGTGCTTTGTCGTGGGCGGGCGGGGCCGAGGGGCCGAGCGGCGCGGAGAGATACCGGTGGTCGGGCTTGGCGCGTCGTCCGGCCTCTGGAAGGCCTTTTTCTCGTCTGCACCCCCGCGAGCCGGGTTCTCTGCAGGCGCGCGGCCTGGTCTGTTCGGAGCGGTCGGGAAGGCGGGGCTTTTAACGCCCGCGGCACCGTTGCTCTGCGGTGCGCGGCTTCCTTGCGCGGGGCAGAGCTTGGGACCTAAGGTAGAGCGGGAAGACCGCCAGGGACCGGGGAGATTCCCGGGCCGGGACTCCGAGGTACACCATCAGCCTCCGAGCCGCTGTCTCCGCAGGTTTGTTCCCAGATCTAGTATCTGGGAGCACCGCGACTTCTGGGGGTTGCGCTCATCCCTGACAGGATGTTTGCGTTCTTTGAATTCTGGATTTTACGCGTGACAAAACGGTTATAGTTTTGTTTGTTTGTTTCTTTCTATTTTTTTCTTTTATAAGACAGAGTATCACCATGTAGCTCTGACTGGCCTTTAAACTTGCTATTTAGACCAGGCTGTCCTTGAGCTCACAAAGATCCGTGGTTCTTGTACATTTTTTGTTTGTGACATTTGTACACTATGAATGTTAGAAAACTTTAAATTTTCTGTTTACTAGTTTAGAGTTTCTGAGACAAAGTCTCATGGAAATCTGAGTCAGTCTGGATAGAACTCGCTAAATAGCCCTATCTGGCCTGTTGTTATTCTTAGTAACCCAGCTGACTCTGCCAGGCACTGGCGATACAGGTGTGAGCCGTCATACCCGGCTGTTTTACTTACTTTTTTTCGAGGTGAACCTTACTTTTGTGTCCCAGGCTGGCCTCTGATCCCGGGCTCAGGTTATTTTCCTACCTCAGTCTCCCTCTCTGGTTTTTCGAGACATGATTTCTCTGTGTAACATTGACTGTCCTGGAACTCTCTCTGTAGACCATGCTGGCCTCGAACAGAGATCCACCTGTCTCTTCTCGAGTGCTGGACTTAAAGGTTTGCGCCAGGACCGCCCGGGTCCTACGTCAGTCTTTTGAGTAGCTGGGAGTGTAGGTGCCTGCTGCAGTGCCCAGTTCGATCTCACCCCCCCTCTTTTTTTTTTTTTTTTTTAAAGGCATGATCTCATTGAGTAATTCTGGCTGGCCTAGAACAGGTGGGCCTCTATCTCAGAAATCTACCTGCCTTTGCTACCTGACTTGTAATGGATTAAAGGTGTACTCCTCCCCATGTTTAGAACTCAGACAGTTTAATACTAAAAGCGCCTTTATTGTCCCTTGTTCTGTTCTTCTAACTTTAAAAAATGATTGATTATGTAAAGCTTTGTGTCTCAAACTGTGGAGGTATCATGATCGCTCAACTATACAATAGCTGCCTCATAATATTGCTTGGTATTGTTGTCCCAGTGAGGCATTTGTTGATGTTGTGACCTCTGTGTTTGGTTGTTCTTTGTGACCCACTCACAGAGTAACATTCTTCAGTTGTTTTCTGGCCGCCTTATTCCTATCTAACTAGTAACCTTTCCTTGTCTTAGTGCTCCTCTCCAGTTGACCCTTTAAGTTCTTAGCTACCTTGTATTCCAGGGTGGGAGAGAATTTTTGTGTGCTCCCAGTCACCATTTGCTTCTTTTTCTCAGTAGCACCTTTTCTTGGGCTTTTGGGCATCTCCTCTCCACTGATTAGACACCGCTGTTTCTGAAGTCTTTGTTCTGGTTGTCCATGAACTTTGTGTGTGTGTGTGTGTGTGTGTGTGTGTGTGTGTGTTCATGTGTATGCAAGAGACAAGAGGGTATCTGATTTTTCTGGTGCATGTGAGCTACCCAATGTAGGTGCTGGAATTCAAACTCTGATCCTCTGGAAGAGCAGCATGTACTCTTGACCCCTGAGCCGTCTCTTCAGCTCCTCTCCCCAGACACGGTTCCTGGGTGTAGCTTTAGATCCTGTCCTGGAACTTGCTGTGTAGACTAGGCTGGCCTGCTTCTGCCTCCTGGAGTGCTGGGTTTAAAGGTGTCCGCCACCACTGCCTGGCATTCTTTGACCCTTTTTATTTTATGTGTTTTTATGTGTTTTATGTGTTATATATTATTTATAGGTGTTTTGCTTACATGTATATCTCTTTACCTCTTGATTGCCTGGTATCCACAGAGACTAGAAAAGGGAATCATTTACCCTGGAACTGGAGTTACAGAGGATTGTAAGTCACCATGGTGGTGGTGGGAATTGAACCTAGGTCCTCTGGAAGAGCTGCCAGTGCTCTTAACTGCTGAGCCATCTGTCCAGCTCCTGTCCATGAGTTTCTTGAGATTGTTAAAAAGCAAACAAATGAAAATATTGTGTTTTTTTTTCTGGTTCATTAGCAATGGCTGTCCTTGAACAATATGTAGACCTGTCTGGGCTTGAACTTGTGGTTCTTCTGCCTCTGTCTTCTGAATGTTTCTATTGCAGGCATGTGCTATCATACTTGGCTGAAAGCATCATTTTTAATAATATAAAAGATTAAACAATCTTTTTGAATGTATATGGTACTGAGGATCAACCTGAGGGTCCTGCTCATGCTAAGCAAACACTTATCCCTAACTATTATGCTTAAACGTTGAATGTTGTTTATAACACCTGTAGGTAGAGCTAATTAGTTTTTGGTGTCTGTCAAATGATTTATTTGGGAATGGAAAGGGCTCTTGAGCATTGGGGTTCTCAGTGAAGGTACCTACATTTGTGTGTGAGAGAGTTTTGAAATGTGAGGGTACTTTGTTGGGAAAGAGTAGAGTAGTGTGGCTGGATCTCAGTGATTGGGTCATACAAGGCCATTTTAGTCTAGATGCCACTGCTTTGCTTCTGGGTCTTGATCCCCATCTGGGTCCTGACTCTCATTGAGTTCTCTCACTGAGTGTGCGCTCTCTTGTATATATGTGTGGATGCTCTTGTGGTTTTCAGAGATGGTCTAGTGTTGGTTTTGCCTTCTACTTTGTTTGAAATAGGGTGTATACCAGGCTAGGTGGCCTGTGACCTGGACATTTTCCTGTCTCTGTTTCCCATTTTAGTGTAGGAGCCTGGGGATTAAAGACAAGCTCTACTGTGTCCTGCTTTTACATGGGTCTTGGGACTTGAAACTCAGGTCCTCTTGTTTGTGCAGCAAGTACTTTACCTACTAAACTATCTCCCTAACATGAAATCCTCTCAAATCCTGCTATTGCTCAGTTACAACTTTATTGTTTTGGGGATTACAAAATTGAATTTCCTTCAGGAATACATTTTCTGGATTTCTATGTTATGCCTTCTACATTTAGTGTAGAACTTTAGCTGATAAAAATGCTTAATTATTTGATACATGATCAATTATTTTTGATGAGTTTGAGTTTTCTTAATGTGTCTTTATAACTTTTTATATCTGTCTCTTTCCACTGGTTTTCTGACTTGTTTTACTTGACTTTGTTTCTGAAGCTGGGGTGCTGTCTCTTTGCATTCACAGCCCTTTTGCCCTGGCCTCCTGATAGCTGGGATCATGGGCATGGTCCCCACATCCAGATTATAGATTCCTGTATGTGGAGGAACTTCTTTCTAATCCTTTGTTTTGTTATTTTGACATTCTGGGATTTTTTTTCTTCTTTTCTTTCTTTTTATTTGATGTGCATTGATGTTTTGCCAAGGATGTCGGGGAGTTGCAGACAGTTGTGAGCTGCCATGTAGGTGCTGGGAATTGAACCTGGGTCCTCTGAAAGAGCAATCAGAATCAGTTTTTTAATACATTTTTTATTGATATTTATTGAGAGTTTTTCTCTGCTACCCTCCCTGCTCCTTTCCTCCAGTCCCCCTCCAAGGTCCCCATGCTCCCAATGGGGAGCATTCCAATGGGGTGCAATCCCAACTCAGGAGATCTTGTCTTTTTCTACTTTCTACTTCCCATGTACATTAGATCTATGTAAGTCTCTCTTAGTGTCTGTATTGTTGTCTAAGTTCTTTGGGATTGTGGTTTGTAGGCTGGCTTTCTTTGCTTTATGTTTAAAAACCACCTATGAATGAGTACATGTGATAATTGTCTTTCTATGTCTGGGTTACCTCATTCAAAATAATGTTTTCTAGCTCCATCCAATTTTTTCTGCAAGATTCAAGATGTCATTATTATTATTATTATTATTTTTTGCTGTGTAGTACTCCATTGTGTAAATGTACCACATTTTCCTTATCTATTCTTTGGTTGGGGGCATTTAGGTTGTTTCCAGGTTCTGGCTATGACAAAGAAAGCTGCTGTGAACATAGTTGAGCACATGCCCTTGTGGCACGATTGAGCATCCTTTGGATATATACCCAAAAGTGGTATTACTGGGTCTTGAGGAAGGTTGTTTCCTAATTTTCTGAGAAATTACCACACTGACATCCAAAGGGGTTTTACCAGCTTGCATTTCCACCAGCAAT